CACACACACACACACACACACACACACGCACGCACGCACGCACGCACACACAGTTTTCTTCTCCTACTTATTCCTTCAGTCCTTTTAATATTTGTTATGTTTTTGCCATGTGCTCAGCCCTCAGTGGGCACTGAGGTACAGAGACCAGTGATAGTCTTTTGATGTGAAGGAGCTCTTCTCCTATTAATGAAAATCTTGACATCATCAAGTGATCATAGTATGACATTCTTGATTCCTAAATAAATTTAGGAATGGGAGCATGAAGAGAGGGCTGACTGACTTCCTTGTAAGGAAACAACTGGAGATAGGAAATGACATTTGAGCTGGGTACTAAAGAGTGATGAGCCACCCTCAGGGCCGAGAGGGGGACACACCTGGTGTGATGCTGCCAGCCTTGCCCTCACATCCTGGTGCAGCATTCACTGCAAATAGCCAGCACAGCGCTGAGGATACATTATAGAATGCTGAGAAGAAATCAGATAAGAATACTTTTAGCTAGAAAGGGGATAAAAGAATAGATGTCCTTTCCTCTGACAAAATTGCAAAGTATTAGATCTAGAGTTAGAGTTCAAAGAGACAACCATTCACAGCATGCATTTATGTCTCTAGTATTATTGTATGGGGAGCTTCCCTCATTAAGATATGAAGGGTGAAATAAAAAAGAAATTGAAGACTCAGTATCTCAGTCTGTAAGGGACAGTCTCTGCACTTACATACACAAGCTCATCGGATGCACTGAGATCTTGGTCCAAGGTGCAGAGTATGACTTTATAAATTGTACCCATGCACACGCACGTGCCTACTGGGCTCAGAACGCCTGGACCGATGGACTATTTTGACACAGCATTTTCATGCGCTTCATTGACATTTTAGTAAACATATTTCATGGCTAAATAATTATTTTCAGGGCTGGTGAGATGGCTCAGTGGTCTAAAGCACCTACTTAGAACAAGCTTAGCAAAGCACAGGGACCGCAGTTCAATCCCCCAGCACCACATGCCAGCCAGCCCCGCCCCCTGGTGGGCTGAGCTGGCCACACACACACACACACACACACACACACACACACATAAATATATAAATAAAATTAAAAAAATAATTATTTTCAGAATGACACTCTGATTCTAAGAGCAAATAAACAGCACACAGTTGAGGAAAGGATGCCTTTTGAAGTATTTTAACATAAAAACTGATAATCCTGAAGACATGAAAATTTCTGTATTCTTTACCCACAGATCTTATTCTGACTTTATTCTTATCAACCATTTTTTTTTTTTTACAAAATTGTATTTATTTATTTATTCATTTGGCACAGGGTCTCACTACACAGATCAGACTCATAGTGATGCTCCTGTCTCAGCCTCCCCTGCACTGGGATTACAGGCTGTGCCACCACGCCCAGTTTTGGGGCCTGCACGGCATGTGATAACAGGGATGAAACTTGGGTCCTTGCATTTGCGAGGCAGGAGCTTAGACCTCCCTCAGAGCTATGTCCTCAGCACTTATCAAGCATTCTTAAAAAATTGGTCTGGCAACCCAGAGTAATTCAAGAGTTTTTCCTCATCTTATAAACAAGAAGTTATCAATTATCACTCTTTGGGGAAAAAAATTGGTTTCTAGGTTGTGCAGCTTAAAGGAGATACATCAGGGTTGATTACGAGTGTACCAACAATCACTGTATATGGTGGATGACAATAAATCACTCCTGCTTAAAAAAAATAATAATAAATCACTTTTGCTAACGTCTGAAAGGCTAACTGGCATTGCATTTTTCACCTAAATGCTAGACTATTTATAGTATAACATAAGAAACCCTAATAAAGGAATTAGGTTACATCAAATTTCATATATATATATGTGGCTTTTCCTTTTTCAGTCTTGAGGGTTTCTGTTTATTCTTTCAAAAGGAATTTTTCTTATATCAGGGCAGTGCATCCCAATTCTGTTTCACAACAGTTTGCCAGCATCTGCGTGAGCCCTGTAGGTAACGCTATGCCGGTAGAGAGGAAGAGGATAAAGGAGAGTATTTCTGGAATTTTTCTCTTCAGGTGAAACAGAGGCTCTAAAAGTGCTGATATGATTTCATTCCTGCTTCCATAAAGACAAAAGACAATCTTTACAGGCCCCACCACTTTTTCAGCACTACCAAAACTAAGCCAGACCTGTTCAGCTAGCTGTTCCTCACTTAATGTTTTGAAATATGACAGTTTGTTGTATTTTTTCAACTTTCGGATACAGACCGAAATTTTGAAGTAAATGATACCAAACTACTCAGCTAAAAATATGAAGAATGTGTTATGTGGATGGATATACAGATAGACAGATAGTGGTAAAGAAAAAGGTGTGTCTGTAATATTTTAGAATAATAACACACCACTATGCCTGGTTTCAGTGGCCTGGCCTGGCCTGTGGCACCAGGGATTGAACCCAGGTCATTGTGCTTTCAAGGCAGGTGCTTAGGTGTCTAAGCTATCTCCCCAGCCCTTGTCTTGCAAACTTAAACAACACTTTTGCTATTGATGTTTGTTCAGGCATTCTATTAGATAAACTGGGTTTCTTGAACCAATAACTGATGACTCCAAGATCTTATTTCACAGTTTACTTAAATAGGATGTCCCCTCCAAGTAGCAAGATTGAACAAACCTATTTTTGAAGTTGGTTTCTTTCTTGGCACTCTGTTGCTGGGTTTATTTTTATTTTTGTACCGGATACTAAATTGTGATTTATTTATTTTCAAAGTAAAAACATTAGCTGTAGTGAGCCTCTGGTTTATAGTAGGAAACAAATACTTGAGCCCAAATTAAAGTGCTTTTTTTACCTCTCAGGTACCCACCCACTGGATGTCACTTTTCAGAACTGTGTTCATGTTATGTTCAGCCATATTTTAGACAAATGCTATTTAATGTTTCAGTGAATGCCGAGGATAAACACGCAATCTTTGAGACGAATGACATAAAGAATGCCGTTTTTAAAAGAAAGTTATCATGAGGGAAATAATTGAGTCTAAATCTCGAGTCTTCTCCCTCGTATCTCTCACACGTTTTCCCTGCTTTCTGCATCCCATTCATACAACCTAAGTGCTTGGAGAGGCTCCTTTGCCTCCCTCAAGGGCACCCAAGGACACAAGCATCTTCACAATAAACCCAGCAGTGGCCAAATTTCCTCCTAGTCCACAGCATTCAGAATAAAAACCATGGAGTGATGACTGTCATTTGGGCAAATAATGGCAATAGTATTGTCCAGCAGACTTAGATGGAAAGACAGATTCCATTTGCTACAGTATTGTTCAGACTCCACCAAGAAAAATTGGTAACTAGACTAAAACTCATAATTTCCTGTTAAGAAAATCACTAGGCATCCTGAGATGGGGAAAAAAGACAAACCTTCATTTAGCACTGGGTTCAGCACCTTATCCATCAGCATTAGTTTATACCAATACCTATGTTCAAATCAGAAAAAAGGTAGCCCACTGGGACAGACACCAGGTGGAACATGGCTGTGGTGTGAAGCTGGGATGAATCCCACCTCCTCTGCCACCTCAAGCAGTAAACCTGACGCAGGTAATAATATGGTTAACTGAATTTGATAATTGTATTTATAGATATCTGTTTAGTGCTTACAAATCATAAGACACAAAATAACTAGAACCTTCATCCATGGTTGTTAGAGTAGAACTGTGTCAAATTGGGACCATAAAGTTTTCTATAGTAAATATCAAATTCTACTCTGCATGCATTCAGATAAGTATAAAATAGAACTCGATGAAGATTCCTTATAAAAATGTCAAAGAGCAACTAAGAAATGTTTCTCTCCTGGGTCCCATACTAGGAGAGTAGAATACTTACCACTATCTTCAACTGTAAAATGGAATGTATCACTTGTGGCATTGGCCCCATCTCTTAAGACATAGCATATTTTCATGTCATCAATGTCAGCTAGAAAATGACCAAAAAACAATATTAATTACTATCTCAAAATTGATGACCTGTTCCTTATGGAACATTCTACTGGGTAGCACTTTTCTGTAAGCCTATTTAAATCCCCTCCTAAGGAGAACAGTGCTATCTTTTTTCTCAGATGTCTAAGCCCCTTGCTCCCAGCTGTCCCATAGAAATCAGATCCCTTACACAGATAAATAGACTACAAGATTTAGGTCATAATAATACCAAGGTGTTGTCCCTCCAAGTAGCATTCGTATGGTCATGTACCAAAGGAGTGACTCCCCAAAGATGGAATGTCAGACACCACGACAGGTGGGCATGAAGATATTTTGGGGCATGGCAGGGCTCCTGGCCCTCTTGAAACCACATTCTTTTTCTTTCTGTAGGGCTGAGCCTCGGAGGAAAGAGGCTTTGCCTCCCCATAATGGCTCATTTTTCTTACTTCTTTTACTATAGCAGGCTGTTTTTAAGCTCTCCAGAATTTGAAAAGAAAAATTAAGGAGACTTTTAACATCCCACAGATTAAAATAGCTATTGTGACTTACTATCAGGGAGAATTTAAACTATTAATAACAATGACAACCTAATGATGAGGGAAAACCTGTATTCCTAGTAGAAAGTTATGCTGCCTCAGACATGATCTTTGTTACTTCTTACTCAGTCAAATTTGCTTGCATGGATTTGTTTGCATCACTAAGGCACAAATTTTAAAATGTATTCATGCAGTTCGCCACCTCCTCTCCTAGACAACATCATAGAACTGACAGTCTGTTCTGTGAGCCGCCCAGTGGAGCATCACCACCTTTGACGTGGGCCTGTCTGTCAGCTTGCAAGGTTACAGAAAATCAGAGTGTGGCTAACAGTAGCTTCCACGTGGCACACAGTGTTTATTTATCTCAGTGTGTTTTGTATTTTACATTTTTAAAATCTCTCTCTCTCTTTTTTAAATCTCTTGACAGCTCTGCTGAGTTCATGCCATGCTGGCCAAAGGCAGCTAGCTCTGTACGACAGTGATTCTGAAAGCCTCACCTAAAGTGAGTCAAGGGTCAGGATCAACAAATCCCCCCACAAGTTTCTAGAGCTCTACTCTACAGATGTGAAGTATATGCTCTGTCCTCCCTTTGAAAAGTGACTTACAGCTAGTGAGGGGAAAACCTGACTTTCTATTTAATAGTGTCTTCTTTTTAGTGCAGGTACTTGGAAGTGAAAGCAGTATAAGATGTATTGTAGAAATTAGTTTTTCTCTACCATAATTTCCCACACTGTCTGTCTAGTGACATTTTTTATCTTTCTGTACATGTCTCTTATAAGGAGATTAAAAATTTTCCTTTTTTTGGTCTTAATCTTAACTCTCATAGTTCTTTTCTCCAAGTCTTATAATTAGTATGAGCTGAAATGTCTCTTATGAGGAAAGGAAGGCACTGTGCGGTCTGTTAGACCACACCGAAATCTCTGCCTTCATGTGCTTGCATTGTGCCAGGGTCAGGGGTGGGAGTCCCGCGCAGCGCTCAGCTCGCTGTTGTAGCTCCTTCCTTATCAGTAAGGGATGAAGCCAACGCTGCAAGCGCACATCCCTATCTTAGGGACGAGGGCCTCAGGCCAGTGTCAAAAGCGCTTGCCAATGCTTCCACCTTTCATAACATGAATAAGAAAACCTAACAGCTGTAGTACTGGGAAGTAAGAAACACCTGGTTAGTGTTCCCAACATCTGTGTTAGTGTTTTCTTAAATAAAAATATAATATTTAGGAGACATTTTCATTGAAATAATTTATAGCCTCAAAATCGATTTTTAAGAACTTTCTTTCAGAAGTTAGAGCACACTGGAGTGGAATTACACAACACATAGGTCGCGTTTCCTCTCCATGTGAAGGGCCGTGACAGTGACTAGTCGGAGCTCACTAAAACCCCTTGAATTTTCCCTGGAATGTGTTAGCGCTAATTCATGGGTGAAAAAGGACATGATTCCTTTTATAAGAAAGAGAAATAAACTAAAGATCCAAATAAAAGATATGTAACAGGAAACAGCGAGCTAGAACGTTTGCAGAAGGAAGGAGGCCCAGAGATGGAGGGGAGGGAGGAGGTGAAGGAAGGGAATAGAGAAAGACCTGAGGTGGTTATGCGCATGGACTAATGCAGTTAGAAAGTACTACAAGTATAATATGTACTAATAAAAGTAAAATTAAATAAAAAAGAAAAAGAAAACAGACTTTAAAAATCTGCAGGAAGTAAAGATCTGGATTATAATATGATCACGAATATCCCTTAAAATAATATGGTGTAAATATGCATACACTCTAGTTTTCTTAAAATGCATTGTTTAAAAATATCTGTATGTCTAGTTTAAACAAATACCTAGGAATTACTTAGATGTTCTTCTAGTGGTTAAGCATGAGATTACATTTATCTCCTTTTATCTACAAAAATCATTCCATTTATTAAAAAATTTTCCTTCCTATATCTTATAATATGAGCAACTATCTTGTTTTGAAATATTATATCACTGTTTTTTACTTTTCCTTAAAATTAAAAAAGTATAGATTTTAAGTTCATTAACATGCCCTATAACCATACTGGTTTAAACAACGTAAGGCACATTTCTGCTTTTCTGAAAGTGATTTATAAATTATTCCACAAAATATCACTATGCACTTAATGGAGAGAAAAACGAATCCAGGTACTTGAAACAAGTGATTTAGCACCAAGATGGGGGAGGGGCAGAGACGCCTTGTCCAAAAGGTGCAGTTTAAAATATAGAAATAATTTCCTGAATTCATCTAGATCTGTATTACTACCATTTCTGATAATGAACTTTAATAAGTTTTGTAAATAAGTAATTTTTTTTCCTTCTGGTGACCACTATTCCTCAATAATTTGAAGAATGACCTCAAACTACCTTTGCTACATTGACTTAATTCAGTGCATTCAAAAATCCATCCAAATACAGGTTACGTCATCCCTTCTTAATAAAGCAAACGCAAATAGAAAACTTCAGTCCTCACTCTAAGCACCACTCTCATTTCCCCTACTGGAAAAGCAGCCATGGCAGGGCTGATTCAGCCTGCTCCAATTTTATAAACTTATCTAATCTTCATCAGTAACTGCTGTGCCCCTAGCTCAGCCTCAGCTTGTTCAAATGAGTGCTGTGAGACCAAATACCATCAGTTTTCTCAGTTGCTATTTCAGTTTGTACTCGAGTGTGACCATTTAAAATTAGTCTTTAAAAAGTATTTTTATAATAGGCAAGCATAAGCTGTACTTACAAAGGCTACAAAATTCATGTGGTAACTTAAAAGTCAACATGAAATACAATTGTCTATAATGAAGTAGAATAACTTTAGGGTTCCATACTCAAATAATATTCCAATATTTTGAGTTGTTGGGCTTGGTTAAAAAACTTTAAATTCAATCATTTGCTTGTCTTCATCCAAAAATTCCTAAAAAGAAAAAGGATCCTCTAAAGTCAAAGTCTTTTCAGAGGAAGGATTTGAAGTGATATTTTCCGTGCTGTTTATATTCTTTTCATTCTCTTTGCTTTCTGCAAAAATAAACCAGTGTAAAATTGCATGGTACCTCTAGCCCCAGAAAGCCTTCACACAAAAAGCTCCTGCTGAGCTGGCTGACACTTGGCACTCTGATGGTTTCCTGTCTCTGCAGGCCCTGGGATATACGAATTCAGGCTTAGAGCCAAGAATCAGAAGGCTGGAGTGTGAGGCGATTTGTCAGCATTACACAGGGAAACAGTTCGCTTTAACACTACCCTTTGCTACATCCATGTTTGTTAAAGCATTTTGTTATCTGGGAACAGAATCCTGTTGCAGGAAAAGAACACCTCCACTGGGACGGCCTGGGGTTAACTGCATCTCTATCCACACAGCCCACATAGGGTAGATCTAGTTTCCGTTCTGACGTGGGCTGTTTTTTTCAGGAAAGCAACATGAATCCGTCTGTAATAGAAGTTGCACATTCTGGAGAACAGAGCCCTAACTCCCAGTCAGTAAACTGAATGAGCTTCTCCCTTCCGTCACTGAGCCATTCTGCACAGGTCACCTGCCTCCCCTATCTCAGACCGTGCCCAGCCCAAGGGAAACTTGAGTGAAAAAGTTCTGTTGACTCAGAATGCTGGGGCACCTGGTATGGAGTTGGTAACAGGACAGAGAGAAGGCTTCAAATGCTGAAGTTCTGTCCTGTTGTTATGAATCTTATTTCCATATCTTCAGGTTCCTAGTAGTGAAATGTGTGTATAGTTCCGTGATGAATATATTGTCTTCCTATTTATCATCAAGTATATTCTTCTTTTTTTGTGAGTACCCCTATAGTATGCTCTGTTACATAACATACAGTTGCTATAACTCTAGCTAGGTGCTCATCTCTTATGTCTTTGGACATGTGGCTGCCTGTGATATGAAATACTATTAACTAATTTGTTAAGTCTTAAAGTATCAGCAAGTATTTTCCTTCTACTTATACAGTTCCTAGCAACCACAGCAATACCAGCACAATGGACTGAAAAATTAAAGCAACATAAAAGGAATTTTGAATCATGACTGATAACAATATGAATAAGTACAATTTAAACAGTTTCTGTCTCTTTAACATACTAGAAGCATCATGAAATATGCGGAGCACATGACATAGAGGATGCTCAGGGCGAAGGCACCACAAAGGCAGCACAGTTGGAAAGTCTACTTCTGCATTCAGCTGCCAAGTCTTTCCCTTTTGGCAGCATATCTGGCCACTGTCAGAATACTGTACACTGCTGTACCCTCCGATGATGATCCCTGCAGGGAACATCAAAAACTAGCTTGCTTTCCCAAGAGAGTAAGTCTATTTCTCATTTTCCTTTTTTCCCATCTCCTCCATTTCTCTTGGGCTTGAACACTCTCTATATAAAGCTTGCAATGCAGCCATATACTCAGGAAATAAGACCTGGGATATCCTTTGTTTATAGGAAAATAAAAGTATAACATTGGACTGGGGATATAGCTCAGTGGCCCAAGAGCCTGCCTGGCAAGCACAAGGTCCTGAGTTGAATTCCTGGTATAAAACAACAACAACAAAAAAGAACCATACCTTGGGTGAACTGAATGATGCTGTGGTTGCCTCTGCCCAGGTTCAGGAGATAGCCATAATGAGGGGCCTCTGTCACAACAAACCGAAGAGAAAAGTGTAGACTGTCTCTGTCCTCCACTTTCAATATTTTGTTTGTGATCATGAAACCCAAATGGCCAGTGGCCAGAGTGCGAAGTGTAGAGGCCCCTTTATTCACTGCAATCTGAGGGGCATTATTATCAACAGCTAAGACCTGGATCTTCATCATCTGAGGTCTCCTTGTTTCAAATACTGTGTCAGGAAAAACATAGAAGTCCGTGTGAGTACCATCAGTCACTGTGAAGGAGAAGCTGTCTTCAATGGACTCTGTGCCATCATGTTTGTAACTGATTAAGTTTTCATTCAAGTCTTGCTTGGTAAAGACAATAATAGGCCTGGTATTGTTGAAGAGCAGATGACCATGGACTGGCATCTGGGTGACAGTAAATTTCAAGAGTTTGTCAGGGGTATCTCTGTCTTCAACAGTGAGTTCAAAGGGAGTGATCATCTTGCTTTCACCTTCACTGACGACCAAGTTATGGATGGTGACCACTGGCTTTTTGTTGTCCACATCACTGATGGAAATTCGGAAGGTTCGGAATACAGGGTTATGGCCATCGGTGACTTGGAACTCAAAACTGTCCATCTTCACCTCATCTTCTGCAGTGTGGATGTAGTATATTTTGTTGCCAGCTAACTGTAGCTGAGTGAAAGATGTGAGGGACACTCCAGGGTGATCAGTGCACTCCAAGTGGCCTCTTGTGGGCGCCCTGGTGATAGTAAAAACTAAATTTTCATCAGGACTGTTCAAGTCACTTGTGCTTAGTAGGTCTGTTGTGAGGGTGACTTTCCCACCTTCTCTCAAAGACACGCCCTTGCTTATGACATCAGGGAAGACGATGTCAATGCTCCCAACAGATACATAAAAGTAACGATCTATGAGGGGATTTATCCCATCAGTCACATCAAATTTAATTAAGTCTCGGATGCCCTCCTGCCCACGGTGGACATACTGAATTAAGTTCCTGTCCACTTCATCCTGGGTAAAATTCATGCCCAGGGTGACATTTTCAAAGGCACCTGTAAGCTTTTGTCTCTGTAATAAGCCATGTTCAGGCCCAGAACGAATAATATAAACCAACGATTTGTCTTCAGAGTCTAAGTCAGTTGCCATTAATATTTTGTTGTTGATGATTTTGGTCTCCCCAATCTCTACTTCCAGTCCAGTATTGATGGCCATCCTGGGAGTCTCATCATCAACAGGAATGACCATGATGAGGACCATCCTTTCCACAGAGTGCCTGCCATCTGCTAGTTTAATCACAAAACTGTCTTCCTGGGTCTCAGAGTCATCATGCTCATAAATAATGCTGGAACTCTCTATGATCTGGTCCAAGGTGAAGCTTTCGACCAAAATCGTGCCATTTATTAGCTGGTTCATGATATGACCGTGAGTGGGAAATTGGGTAATAGTGAAAGTTAAGTCATCGGGGGGGATGTCAGCATCTGCAGCATTGAGAATGGGAGTGTCGATCACCAGACTCATGCCCTCCATCACCATAAATTCTCTCATGAACATTTCGGGTTGTTCATCATTGGTGGGGATGATTACAATGGGGAAAAACTGTCTCTCTGAAAAGTTAATGCCATCAGAACAGCGAAATACAAATCGATCTTCCACAGGTTCCACACCCTTGTGGACACTCTGGACGTAGTTAATGTGACTCTGCCTGAGATCCTTTAGAGAAAAGGCACTTATGGCAATGCCAGCCCTTGATTTCTCAGAACCTGGAGCTGGAGAGATGTTTTCAACATAACCTGAAGTCGGCTGAATGACTATGGTACACAAGATGTCATCATTCATGGAGTCAACATCTTCAGCACTTATATGTGCTGAGGTGATAACACTTTTGTCACCTTCTAGTACTACAAACTGTTCACTCACAGAAATTATGGGAGACTGACTATCCACAGGGAGGATGGTTACCCACACGGTAACACCCTGAATAATAGTGCCACGGATTCTCCATTCTTGAGACATAGCTGACAGACTCAGGTTAAAAGAATCCGCTTTGGGCAACAGACCAATCTCACCACTGGTGTGGGCATAAACAACAGAGCCTTCCAAGATGTCCCTTTGGGTGAACTGCTCTGCTGGAGCTCCATTGACCAAGATCTCTCCATACAAGGGGGGATCTTCTAACAGAAAAGTCAGCATCAAATCATCAGTGTACTCATTAGTCCCCTTAATAATGCTGGCAGTGATTTCAGTAGCTCCATTTTCTAAAACATCTAGATAGGACTCCACAGTACCAGTAGGAAAGCTTAGCATGGGTACCACGTGGTCCACTGGCCGAATATTCACTCTGAGGGTGATTGGTACCACGTGGTGTCTATCACTGACCTCCAAAGAGCAGCTATCAGCCAAGGATATATCCCCATTATGAACATAGGAAATTCGGCCCTGTTTTATGTCCTCCAAGTAGAAGAGCCCTCCTACAGGCAATATCTGTCCAGACACTTGCATATGGCCATGTTTGGGTGCCTGTGTAAGAGTGAAAGAGATATGGGCCACGTCAGTGTCCACATCAGTCACATGTAACTCAGTTTCACTCAGAGTGTGGTGGCCTTTCTCCTGAATAGTGAAACCAGTGTTAAGAATATCTGGAGGCTGATTGTCCACAGGCTGCAAATAAAGGGTGAAAGTACCAGGAGCCACGTTCCCAGCTCGGTCCTCCACCTGGAACTGGAACTGGGCCACTCGGGCAGCCACTCCCAGCTCTTCACTTGGAGGGCTGTATGCAATTTTATGGTGGTTGATCTGGGCTTGGGTGAAATGGGTCACCACCACTGAGGGGTTGTCTGTGAGGACCAGTGTGCCCAGTGGGGCTGGTGAGTGGTTTTCATCGGTATCCATAGGGGGCTGTGTCACTGTGTACTGAAGTTCTCGGTCATCTGTGTCCAAGTCAGTGTAGCACAGCCACTTTTTCCTCAGTGGTGTGAGCTGGGATTCTTGTACCACCATCCGAAGGGGACAGCCAGTGCCCAGCTCTGGAGGGAGGTGATCCACAGGATGAACTCGAATCACAAACCTTTGTAGTCTAGATCGATTAGGCGGGTCATGGTTATCCTGGACTCTAAATGTGAACTGGTCCATCACTGGCCCAGGACTATGGGGTCCAGAGTGCCGGTAGAACAGCCTCCCCTCTGTTATGTCCTTCTGCTGCCACTCCATTACTTTTCGCTCATAATATTCTCCATGCTTCCTCCAAAGGCCTGTGATCAGTTCCTGGTCGTCACTGGGAGGATGAGTTTGGCGGAGAAGCAGGTACCCTGAAGTGGAGAAGGGTGACTCCAGCACAAAGAGCAGCTGAGAGTCCTCTGAATCCATGTCGGTTGCGCTTAGAGCAAAGGGTGGGATGGGCACTGTTTCACCCTCTGCCAGTGTCAGCCCCGTGTTGGCGTTGAGAACAGGTGGTTGGTCATCCACAGGCACTAAGGTGATGGGGAACAGAAACTGCACCTGGTGCCTGCTTCCTCCATCCACCATGCGCAGCACCAGGTTGTCGCTCAGGGAGCCGTCTCTGTCGTCGTGCTGGTAAATCACCTGGCCAGCTGCCAGCTCGGCCACTGTAAAGGCCTTGGGAGCGGAGCCATCCCTGGAAGCACCCAGAATGAAAAGGTGCCCGTGCCGAAGCCCGGCCACCACTTCCAGTCGCACTGCTTCCAGGTCGTCTTCATCACTGATGACCAAGTTTTGTGGTCCACTGTTTGCAGGACTTGTGAGTGGCTGGGACTGCCCCTCATAGAGAATCAGACCAGTGTTCCGGGTGACCACTGGAGCCAAGGTGTTCATGGGCTTCACCACTACCATGAAGGTGAAAGGGTCTGAGGCAGCTCCTTCGGGGTCTACTACCTCTAGTTCCAGTTGGAACAGCCGCTCCTGGTCAGAGTCTTCAGAGGGGGGCTGGTAGGCAATCTTCAGGAGGCGCAGATCCCGCTGAGTGAAGGAGGAGAGAGGCAGGCTGCGGTCGTCGGTGCTCACCAAGTAGCCCTGGCCAGGCTGGAAGGAGGAGGTGAGGTTGAAGACCAGGAGGTCCGGGGGCGCCTCCGCGTCCTCGGCCGCCAGCATGTCTGGAGTCAGGGCAGTGAGCACAAACTGGTCGACCTCCATCATCATCATGGCCACAAAGCTCGGCTTGGGTGCGGTGTTCTCCGCCCCTCCACGGATCCTCACCAGCACTTGGAAGTGCTCGCGTTTTAAAGCAGGGCTGCCCACAGGGGCCCCCCGAGCACGCAGCTCCACCACCATGGGCACCCAGTCCCTGTTGGGTGAGCGACCAGGGGCCGTGTGGCGGTAACGCACGCCCAGCTCCTGAAAAGCTTTGCAGTGCATCAAGAGGGGCTCGGGGGCGCTTTCCTCTCCGGCTCCTGCAGGAACCTGCGGGTAGTGGAGAAGTTCTCCGTAGCGAGGCAGCGCGCTCAGGCCAGACAGGATGCCCACGCGGCACTCCTCCGTGTCGGGCTGGTAGGCGAACTCCAAGCTCCGTGCATCCAGGGCATTGCTAGTCCCCAGCAGCTCTTCCACGACCAGGGGTAAATTTCGAGTCACGACCTCCAGCTGAGTGAAGACTACTTCCACCTCCAGTACCAGAGGCAGCACTGTCGCCCCTCCCGGGGAGTCGTAGCGCAGCTGCAGTCGGACGCGGTCCCGCGAAGGGCTGCGCGCGCCCAGGTGCGAGTAGTGCACCTCACCCGGGCCGAAGTCGCAAGGGAAGCGCTTGGGGCGCAGGCGGCCAGGCCGCTGGGCCAGCGCGTCGTTGTCGAGCACAGCCACCACGCAGCGGTCGCCGGGCTGCACCTGCAGCACTAGGTCGTGCAGCGGGTCCAGCCAGACCTCGCGACCGAAGGGCACCCGGAGTCCGCGGTTCGCCAGCACAATAGCCTCTTCCGCAGGCAGCCCTGAAGCCCCCAGGAGACCCGAGGACAGCAGCACTCGGCCGGGGGCAACGGGCTGCGCAGAGAGCCGGCTTACCAGAGTCAGGAGCAGCAGCAGCAGCCCGGGCGGCGGCGCAGGTACCCGCTGAGAGTCGGTGGCGCTCGCTGTTCCGCGCGCTCGGGTGGCGACACCCGGGGTCCGTGTCCGGGCTCCTAGCATGGTCCGGGCGTTAGAGCTCCGACAGGTCAGCCCGAGAGGTACACCGTCAGCGCCCAGCAGGCTACCGCGGACAACTTCAGAAAGCGCCAGGAGCTCGGCGCGCCTCCTGCCGGGTCCCGCCAGAGCCCGAAATGGGCCCGCGGCTGGGAGAGTCGCACGGGGAGCCCAGGCTGGAGCCAGAGAGCGCCGCGCAGCCCTCGCAGCCTCTCGCTCCGCGGCTAGCTCACAGGGAGGAGCGCGTCCGCCACACTCCTTCATCCGTCCGCGGACCTCTCCTCTGCACCCTCTTACTGCGGTCCTCCCGGGAGGCCAATCGTTGGTCCCGGGAGGAGGCCCCGAGTCCAGGGTTGGGTAGTGATTTCTGTCAATCAGTTCCCGGGGTCCAAGGCGGGGAAACGACAGAGAGCCGGGAAAGAGAGGCGCAACAGGTTGTCTCGGAAGTGTGGGGGTAGCGGCCCGGAGCTGCGCTCCCTGGGTTGCGCTTCGCCCGGGCTTCCTCGGTCTGGGATTCCTGCGGAGGCGTCCGAGCACTCCGCTGTGCCTTTTGGTCCCTCGGAGATAGAGGAAAACACGGTTTAGCCCTTCACCTCCCTTCAGTGAATTCCCTCCCGGACGACGGTCATTTCTCACGGAAATGTCCAAAACTCGGGAGGAAGATGAAGCACACTGTTGCCTATATGTGGGTCGAAAGCCAGAACATTTGGCAAAGAGACCCTGGAACAAACCTGTTTGCAAAAAGACAGCTGGAATTAAAAGCCAAGCCTAGAGCAGGTTGCACCCGTCAGCTCCACGCCCCTCACTGCCCTCTTGTAAATTACAGTAGGCACAGTCCTCGGATTGGTGAGGTTTTAACAAGCCCCTCCTTTGCACACACGAAGTTCACAGAGTAAAAGGGGAAAAGGGGCCCTTGGAATGCGTAAGAAATGCAGCCTGGTCAGGATCGCTAGACTCACACTGAAGAATCAGTTCGAGAGAACGTAGCCCCAGGCTGTCCCCGAGCCGCTGCTGTTGGGGTAGCTGTCATTAGAGACGTCCCTGTTCTCTTCGCAGTAATTAGACCAAATACAAACTAAACCAACGCGTCAGCATCACATTTCTCGGCATGCCAGGAGAACTGATAAATACCCGGAGGCTGAAGTAGTTTAGGTCCCATTCAGCGACTGAGTTTGAAGCCAGAGCTTGAGCTCTTCCTGCCCCCTTGTGTTTGTCCGCTCTCAGTATTATATAAAACCCCTTCCTAAAGACCCCTAAAGGGTCTCCCCCACCCTAACACCTCATTATTAAAATGCATTCTCAATTCATTCTTTGAGTAATCTTCATTATCCCAAAATGTTTTATTTTAGATGGTTTTGTTTTCCTTCAACCATGCATCTGCTTACTAAACACAGAATTTGAATGTCATTTTGCGGCTCTTTCTCCTTCAAGTTACACTTGGAAAAGAAAGATGTACAACAAATTGTTGTTGCCCTTTTAAATTTCGGTAAATTACCTGTGTGCGTAATTTCAGGAAGACGTTCCTATCCTTTTAACCCTTTTGGATTTTACTCTTGAGCTCCTATAGTTGACAACTTTGATCCCTGTCTGATGCAACCATCAATATTTTTCCACAGCACAAACTCCATTCGAAATAACCCTGGAGATGTCAGATTCTGTTCCAGGAAAACCCATTGTAATTTAGGTTCTGGTAATCAAAGATGGAAAGTTCTGAAGTTTTTCAAAAGAAGCAGGACATCAGTGCAAATGAATATTGTTTAATTAGTTGAACTTTAGCCATATTCTGTGCACTGTTTGGGGTCATTTAATTCCCATTTCTAATTGATGGACATACTTCATAATTTTTACAAAAGAAACAACTGGTAACACAGGATATGGACAACTCTTCATAGACATATGAAAAAAATCCCCTCCATCATGTTGCCAATTTCCAATTCTCTTTGGAGTTATAATTTATAGTTTTATAATTTATTATGATTACTTATTATTTCCATGGAAGTGTTAAGTAGCAGATACATGAGAAATTCTATTTGTTCACAAATAAGTAGAAAGATCCCAGAGTAGAAAATAAATCACAGAATATGGCTGCTTTTGTACTGTGTTTCAAACTCTAGTTATATCTTTTACTGAAAAATATCTGCTGGAAGCCAAGTGTCCCTGTGACATTGTGACCCTGGGTAAACTGTGATCAGATCCAGAGCAATAGCTTGACCCCTGATGCTTCCCAGTGGCTTCAGGGCTTCTCCTTTCTTCCTTTTAAAGTCCAACCCTGTTTGACTAGCCTGCGATGATAAGATCAGTATGTGAAGTATGGTAGCATGCCTGAAGGGCAGGGTTCAATATTTTGTTTCATGTCCAGAAGAATACAGGGCCACACTTACTTTTAAGTGCCCTAAGGAAATCAATAAACTATAATCATTTTTACTTTTAAAATTTAACTGCCCTTGACTGAAGCTGTGAAATGATTCTTAGGATTATTGTTTTGTTTTTGGTAAATGTCTTAGTTTGTATTGTTTTAATTTGATAGAAGGCAATGAACATGATGATTTGCTTAACTATATCTTGTACTTATTATTCATAAGTAGTGAAATATTATATTTATGTCTGAGTGCAACTGTTATTGGTGATGAGTTTCTTTTAGAATAAGAGTTTTGTGAAGCTCATCATCAATTTAATTTAAACACAGTGATTAGCAGCAAAATGTTTAGGCCAAAATTTTCACTATCATAAGGGATAGGGATAATATAAAATAGGGTACCTAAGTTTAATTTTTAATTTATTAAGTGCTTTCACACTTCCTGTGCATGCCTTGGGAAAAGTAATCTTCAAAAGTAAAAATTCTTCACTATTAAAACTACAACAAAATATCTCCTCAAAATAATTTAAGATTAAAATTATTGTTTGTTAAAACTCAAGTGATTTCTGCACTAAGTTAAGTATCAGTGAACTTGCTTCCTAAAATAGAGAGGGTACTGTGATGAATTTAAAATTTAGGTGAGATAGTCAGGTATAAATTCAATGACAGGCCTAAAATTCTAAAGTCAGATTAAAGATCAAGGAAGATATACTTGGTTACATTTCAAATGTTACAGTTTTATGACGTTTGTCTCAGTTATTTTTCTCTCATTGCTGGAACAAAATGCCCAATGCTCAAAATTAAGGAAGGAAAGGTTTATTTAGCTCACAGTTAGTAGATGGCTCAGTCCATACTCGGCTGGCTCCAAGGCAGAGTGGCACATGGCAGAAGGCAGCCATTCATGGCAGTGGAAAACAGCAGAGAGCAAAGGGAGGAGCAGCGGCTGCAGCGGCAGCAGGGGCAGAGGGGCAGAGACTGCAAGCCCCTCTCCTTTCCTTAGACTGCATCCAGGCTATCTGCCCCAGGCTGGGTTTAGCACTCACACCCATAATCCCAGCATTGCATCATGAATTAATCACAAACTCTAGAAGCTGCCCCAAGACTGCCTGAGTCTTTGGGGGGACACATAGGCCCAAACCATAGCAGAGTTTATTTTAATTTTCTCGTGTTTTTCTACCAGATCATTAAAACTCTAGTACAGGAGACTACTTCAGAAGCACTTTAGAAATAGATTCAATGATCTCTGAATACTCCTGGCCATTTGGATCCAGGACCCCTCAAGTACCAAAATCTGTGAAGTCCATGTCTGTTACATAAAATCATGTATTTTATATGTATAACCGAAACATATCTGATGGTATAATTTAAATCACTGACTGATAAAAATATAAATAGTTTGTAATAGTCATTATACCATATTACTTAAGGAATAAAAACAAAGGAAACATCATATGTGTTCAGTGCAAACACAGTTTGTTCTCCAAATACCTGTAACCCCCAGCTGGTTGAGCTGTGGGTGTGGAGGCTAGCTGCACACACAGGCGGGTAACTTGGATCAGCTCTGTGGCCAGCATCTTTACTGGTTCTTCATACATTTTATTCTTCAATAGCTTCAAATGTGGAGAGTCCTCAAAAAACTAGAAGTAGAGGTCCCATTCAATCCACCTATTCACTTCCTGGGTATTTCTCCAGAAGAAACGGAAATATCATACCATGGAGATATATGTACATCCATTTTTATAACAGGGCAATTTGTCATAGGTAAATCTAGGAAATAACACATATGTCCATCAGTTGAGGCTAAAAATGAATAAAAAATATGTGGTAGTCTTACACAGTGGAGTATCATGCAGCAATAAAGAAAAACTCAAGGTTTTTATAGGCAAGTGGAGGCAACTAGAGACAGTACTCATAAGGGAAATAAATCAGACCCTCATGTGTAAACATCCTATTGTCTGCCCAGTGTCCTGAAAGAGTGAATAAAATCAGAAAGGTATAATAGATACTGTGAAAAGGGAGAAAAACTGCTCAAAGAGAAGGAACAACTGGGATAAGGACAAGGAGAAAAAGAAAAAAGAAAGTTGGAAAGAAAGAAAGAAAGAAAGAAAGAAAGAAAGAAAGAAAGAAAGAAAGAAAGAAAGAAAGAAAGAATATATATGCATATGTACAGGCTAGATTGGGTAATTGTACTGATTTCTGCTGATCTATTGAAAGGAACAGTTAATGCTTAATTTTTATAAAATTTTTATTGACCAATTTTGCACGCTGGTGATCTGAACAACTAATTTGAAGACAATAATATGCAATGTAACAAACATTGTTGAATGCCTATCATCTTGTTTAGTGACATTCTGTTTTGTTTCTAGTGATTTTAAGTGATTTTTATTATTTTTTTTTCTTTTCAAAGTTTTATTGATAAACATATAGCAATGAGACAGTTTCAAATCAAATCGAAAGTACAGTTTCAACAAATAATACACTGCATATATTCTTCTTAGTGGTTAATTGCTGTACAAGATGCAGACTTGTAATCCTACTTACAAACACCATTAGAAAAAATCATTCTATTCATTAAGAGAATGCAACTATATATCTATCCCAACCACTTTGAATACACAGATACAAAATGGACATTCATAGTTATACCCCAATTTTTTTAAGTTCCATTGTTGAATATTATAGGTGTGTAAACTCAGCAAAATATTCTAAAAGAGTCCTGTAGCCCATAATAGCATTGGGTCTTCTGTTTAACTGGCAATGTCAGAAATTATTGACCTGAGTCCCCCACAGCTCAACATAACAACATGGCTTTACTTCCTATATTTTATCTTCATACTTTTCTACTGGAT